TTATAGATCTGGATGCATTAGTTCATACCTTACTTAAATCAAGGTAGGAAAACATTCAGTGTTTAACCTCTAAAAGCAAATGCTGCAAAGCTTGATTTACCTCCTCTGCTCCAACAATTGGCTGTATGCTCTCCCGTGATTAATCAATTTCACAACAAATTGCTCTCATAGTTCATGTTGTGAAAAAGGGACTTAACAACACTACATCATTAAGTATGATTTATGAGGCACGCTGGAAAGAGCCACTTACCAGAGCTTGCAAAGTGAGGCCACGATTAAATGGCATTTTTAGCTGTAATTTCTTAACAACTGGGTGCTTACTGCTTGGCAGTTAACCTACATATGGGAGAAACTGTTGGCTCATTCTGCCATGATGACCATTTATGGAGCAGCTGATTATCTTAATACACCTGAGTTAAATGACACCAAGAACCCAGTCTTATTGGTATTGGCCACCAGCTTGCATGGTACAAGTAAGTCAGCATCCAGAGTTCTGCCTTGGCTCTGAAATTTTACATTTCGGCTCTACATTCTTGCAACATTCCAGGAGGACAGGCATGGGGAACCTGTGACTCTCCAGCGGTCACTGGACTCCAATTCCCATCAGCCCCCCAGCCAACATGATCAGTGGTCACAGATGATGGAAGCTGAAGTGCAATCACACCTGGAGGACCCATCTTTGCACTTGTATAAGCTAGAAATTCTTTGTACCTGTTGACGTAGGATTGTGCTAGGTATTGCCGCTCCTGCCCCCAATATCTAATATGTGCAAATTTTGCACAACCAGCAGTTCCACAGTTGTATGTGCTCTGTCACAAGTTGCTTACATACACCACAATCTTTTATTTAAAATTATTATTTGAATGCAGCCTTTCCAGTAAAAACCATGCTTAAGGTGGCATGCAACATGGGGGGAAATCACATAATTACAAACATAACAAAAGTAGTCATAAACAATAAAACATCAAAAAGTGCACAACCACTTTGCACACTTTCCACACAAATCATAATATGCAAAAAATAATATAAATAAGAGGAACATGCACATACCAAGAAATAGCCCAACCCAAGTGTTAATGCAAACGGGACGCGGGTGGCGCTGTGGGTAAAAGCCTCAGCGCCTAGGGCTTGCCGATCGAAAGGTCGGCAGTTCGAATCCCCGCGGCGGGGTGCGCTCCGCTGCTCGGTCCCAGCGCCTGCCAACCTAGCAGTTCAAAAGCACCCCTGGGTGCAAGTAGATAAATAGGGACCGCTTACCAGCGGGAAGGTAAACGGCGTTCCGTGTGCTGCATTGGCTCACCAGATGCAGCTTGTCACGCTGGCCAGGTGACCCGGAAGTGTCTTCGGACAGCGCTGGCCCCGGCCTATAGAGTGAGATGGGCGCACAACCCTAGAGTCTGTCAAGACTGGCCCATACGGGCAGGGGTACCTTTACCTTTTTAAGTGTTAATGCATCTGTGCAACATGCTGGATATATCACCGCACCAGTGCAACACCATACTTTTGTGACACTGCACTGGTGCAAGGATGTTTGCATAGGATTTGGTGGAGAAAATACTTGTGTGACAGGGACAGTGTCCCTACTCCGCTGACTTAAAAAACACGGTAAGATTCAAGGACTTTAATTCTCTGGCAGAGATTTATATCTATTATGCTACCACAACATTCATGCAGCAGCAGTTTAATAAAATCACCCTTTGTGACACTGCTCTTGAGAAGCAGTTTTATACCTCTCATTCCAGGTGGTGCAGCAAGTCATAACACCCAGACACAAGTTGCTTAAATCCAATTATTGCAACTTTACTGATTTGTGGATCCAATTATGTTTTATACTGCCTTAGAGTGATATGGTATCTTCACGTAAAGGGGCATGGATCATCATAGGGAGATGAATCGTTTCACTTTTAGGGCTTATCATGCAATTACATCTTTGCCAAGACAAGTAGAAGCACTTTTTATAAGGAAGTTGTAAAATTTAAATGTGACTCAACTGAATTTCAATAATGTCGAGGAGTGACACTACATAGATGAGAGAATGCAGAATTCTAGAAGCCTGATCAACAACAACCTTCTCGTGCCAGAAATTGTTTCAACTACTACTTAGGGAGGGGTAGCCAAATGTTGTTGTCCGTTACCTCCAGCCAGCAAGACCAATGGTTAGGGATAAGAGGTGGTGTAGTCCTGCAACATCTGAAAGGTCACAGGTTCCTCACCCCTAACCTGACATCAGTGATGTGAAAGGGACTAGCACATTTACCTTAAACAGATTCATGGAAATCGGTGGGACTTGAGAATTAAGTCCCCCTAAGTTCAACGGGACTTACTCTCTGGCAAGTGTTTTACTTGGGATTGCAGCCTTGCACTGAAATTCCATAATGTCTACTTACTCAGAAATAAACCCCATTGAGTCCACTGAGGCAAATGAACATAGGATTGCAGTCTTAATGGCTCTGAATAGAGTGGTACCTCGGGTTACATACACTTCAGGTTACAGACGCTTCAGGTTACAGACTCCGCTAACCCAGAAATAGTACCTCGGGTTAAGAACTTTGCTTTAGGATGAGAAAGAGAAATCGTGCTCCAGCGGCACGGCAGCAGCAGGAGGCCCCATTAGCTGAAGTGATGCTTCAGGTTAAGAACAGTTTCAGGTTAAGAATGGACCTCCAGAACGAATTAAGTACTTAACCCGATGTACCACTGTACAGCTGTTCGAGATTTGAACTGAAGTACAGTAGTTAATAAGCACAATATGCCGTATCTCAGTCTCGCTGCATACATTACATTTTTCATGTGTACACACAGTGCATGTGCTAAAACCATAATGCACAACAAAGGCATGTGTGTGCTTTGGCAGACACAGATATGGACACAAAACACACATAAATACACCAGTGAGCTGGTGCTTGCTTAGGGCTCCCTACAATCTGAAATAAGTGGGAAGGTTCTTGATCCTATTAACAAGCTAGCGATTAACAGCAATATTAACATAATCTCTCAAATCCATAGGAGCACAGCCTCCTTGAGCTCTTTATAGGCATCTCATGGTTTTATCTTCTGTTTACCTCTGGAGTTGTTTTACTACAAAGCTAATTTTCTTTCGCTTTAAGGAATTGTGATGGAATGATGAAAGAGATCTCACTGCTTATAAGCAAATACAGTTTGTTAGTCTTTAAACTGCCTTTTCAAATACTGGTTTGTCAAAATGAAAAAGCTAAATCATATTGAAAAAGGAAGCCATTAAAAAGCCTGCAGCAACCATATCCCATTTTTCCCCTTATCAGTTTTGTTCTCACAGTGGAAACTGGCTCTTAATTTACACCCTCTGCTGTTCAAATATGAGACATGTTTTGCAAAACACACAGGACTGCTGCCCTTGTATTCTGTTCAGCTACTTGCAGTGTGTATGAATGAGACAGATGCTGTCCATTAAGAAGGGATGAAGAGGCTTGAAGATGTCCGGTTGTTTATTTTTAACCGCACCTCCAAGACACCATTAACCCTGCACAACGATTTTATATATTTGCTAGATGAGCTGGGTTAGCCCAAAGCAGTGAAAACTGTTTCATTAGCCAAAAGGATACACCATAAATCCATTGCTTCTTGTAGCAGTTGTGCTCACAACCTGTGTATGTAGGTCAGAGAGAGATGTATGTAGGCCAGCAACAATATATTGTTTGGAACAAAACTAAACAGTAATGAACATTAACATTGCATTTTATATGCATTAGAAAGTGCCTGGCTTCCTATCTGTGTCCTTAGTACTGTTTGCACAAAACATTTAAGGCAAAAAATAGATTATCACAAAATCACAAGGGTGTTGTCTTTTTAAGAAAATACTCAAAAGGAGACACTGTGATGTTGACTTTGAAAACCTAGATCACTTCCACCTGCTTAATTCTGAATGACACATTAAACCATGCATTCCCTTAGAGCCCCAAGAAAACGTTATTGCTGCAGTGCCCCTCACACCTGGGAATGTGTGTGCTACTAAAACTCAAGATTTGTTTACATGGTGATGGCTAGCTTTTGAAAGCAATGCTGCTTATGGTTTCTACATCTACTGAAAATGTGGCACATATAAATAACCAGGGTAGTATCCTATCAGTTCCTATTACCAAAATGCCACTCACACATTTTTTTAACGCTGAGACTTGAAAGCAAGAAGAGAACTTGATGGCATTTCAGGTGTGTGTTTGGTGTTGTCATTTTTGCCTGCCCAGTTTTAAAGCACATCAAAATTCACGTTAACTTCACTCTGGCACATGGGCATATTCATTAGAGCAGTCTCAAAAGGAGTGCTCCAGGAGAAAGCCAATCCCATTCATGGAAATAATTTCGCAGGAAGATCACAGGCACCCCCCCCCCCGCCAAAAAAACCAAAAACAAAACCGTATTACTAGGGAAGCTGTCCACTGCTAGTATTCTCTGATACCTCATGCAAGGCAAGAAGCAATTTTCCAACCTAATTATTATTCATTTCCTGGAGGGCTCACCTCCTAACAGAGAACATTCTCAACAAACATATCACATGTAACAACCACGGCTTTGCTCAACTGTTCCGAATTCCTTCCATTTCCACGTGCTCTGCGGCCAAGAGTCGCATTTCCCTCAAGCCTCTGAAAAGCAAAGCTTCCTCCTGCATTTATGAGCAACATGATCAACCATGAATGAAACACAGCTCTTCTAATGAACCGTCCCACTTGCAATGCCAGGCTGGGTGTTTTGTGTGTGAACGCTCGCTCGCGTGTTTAGGAAGGATTTCGACGCAGGCGAACGGCAAGAACCTTATTTATCAGCAGTGTCCTCCTAACGTGCTGGGGATGAGGAAGGAAGAAAAGGCTGAGTTGGGCAGCAGCTAGTTTAAAATTCGGAAGATGGCCGAGCCTTTCGATGCTCCCCCCCCCCACCTTAAATTCCCGCTCGTCATTCTGCACAAAACACAAACACACACACTCAAGCACAACTCCCACGACCGTCCCATGAACGCATGGAGCCCTTACCGTCCCCTCGCAAGCTGGTCTCCGTCACGGATCTCCAAATGCGCCCTTGAAGAACGCCTAAGGCAGCGCGCAAGACACTTGAGCACTTCAGCTAGGATGTGTGTGTGCGTGTGCGTGTCTTGCGTGTTTTTAAAGTCAAACCCTCCTCCGGAGCTGCTGGCCAGGAGTGGCGAGAGGGAGGCGAGCTTCTCCCCAACCCAGCCACCCTCACCCTGGGAGGAGGGCACGGGGCAGCGGATCCAGCGGCGGCTGCTGCTCCTCCTCGGGCGCCCTAGAGGGAGGGTCCCGCGCGCAGGCAGCTGGGCAGAAAGGGCTACAAAGCGGGAAGAAGCGAGAGGTGGGCTCGGGCGCGGAGGAAAGCGCGGCTCCTTACCTCGAAGGGACCTTCAGCGTGGATTTCCCAGCCATTAGCAGGGCGGGATGCTCTTCCGCAGAGGGAGGAGGAGAGGCAAGGCAGACAACGCTCCGCCACTTCTGGTAGTTCCCCCCGTCCTACTTGGCCGGCTTTAGTACGCGGTACACCACAGCCCTGCCCTTTGCCGCCCTCTCCGCGCCCGCCTCCTTTTCAGGCTCTCCCTCCTGCGAATAGGAGGAGGCAGAAGGAGCCACATGGGAGTCGCTCGCTTCTGGCGCCAAGAGCCGCTCTAGACTAGAGGCTGATGGTGGCTGAGGGAAGAGCTCGAAGGCCAGTGGGACACCCGGATTCAGATCCCCACTCCAGCCCTCCAAGCTCACTGGGTGTGACCTTGTGGGTCAGCCACCATGGTTAGGGCTGTTCACACGTTACGCTGAGACGTGCGAGGAGCCTGTAGGCACGTACGAATGTCGTCCTTAAGGCTGTTCAAGCGTTACATTCGGCGAGCCTGCAGTGGGCGTGCAGCAGCTCGCTGACAGTTTTACAATTTGTTGTTGTTTAGTCGTTTAGTCGTGTCCGACTCTTCGTGACCCCATGGACCAGAGCACGCCAGGCACTCCTGTCTTCCACTGCCTCCTGCAGTTTGGTCTAACTCATGCTGGTAGCTTCGAGAACACTGTCCAACCATCTCGTCCTCTGTCGTCCCCTTCTCCTTGTGCCCTCCATCTTTCCCAACATCAGGGTCTTTTCCAGGGAGTCTTCTCTTCTCATGAGGTGGCCAAAGTATTGGAGCCTCAGCTTCACGATCTGTCCTTCCAGTGAGCACTCAGGGCTGATTTCCTTAAGAATGGATAGGTTTGATCTTCTTGCAGTCCATGGGACTGTCAAGAGTCTCCTCCAGCACCATAATTCAAAAGCATCATTTCTTCAGCGATCAGCCTTCTTTATGGTCCAGCTCTTACTTCCATACATCACTACTGGGAAAACCATAGCTTTTACTATACAGACCTTTGTCGGCAAGGTGATGTCTCTGCTTTTTAAAATGCTGTCTAAGTTTGTCATTGCTTTTCTCCCAAGAAGCAGGCGTCTTTTAATTTCGTGACTGCTGTCATTATCTGCAGTGAGTTTTACAATTACTCACATGCAAACATTCAGTGAGTGTGCGGTCGTCGTGCTTGTATACACAATAGCTGAGCCGTGCAAATCGACAAGTGTACACACTTTCGTACAAACACTTCTGTTGCGTGTGTGTGAAAGTGACATGGAGAAAGGGGGCCAAGAAAAGTTTCTCTCCTGACGCCATAACTCGTGGGCATCCAACTTGGATGGCTTTAAAAGGCGATGAGGCAAACTCGTGAAGGATAAGGGCCATCAATGGTTACTAGCCAAAATGGCTATGCTCTGCCTCCACAGCTGGAGGCCATAATGCTTCTGAAAACCAGTTTCTGGAAGCCACAGGAAGGGAGAGTGTCCTCATATGTGGGTTCTGTTTTAAGGTTTCCAACGGGAATCTGGTTGGCCACTGTGAAAGCAGGATGCTGGACTAGATGGGTCATTCGCCTGATCCAGCATGCTCTTTTTAGGTTCTTGTGTACAGGGATCTTGTGCCTGTGTTCAGTGCAACGTGAACAAGTCTATTGCGAATGACTACACGGGGTTAAAAGGGACACGGGTGGCGCTGTGGGTTAAACCACAGAGCCTAGGACTTGCCGATCAGAAGGTCAGCAGTTTGAATCCCCGCGACGGGGTGAGTTCCCGTTGCTGGGTCCCTGCTCCTGCAGTTCGAAACCACGTCTAGCGGCTCCCTCAGCCAATAAAGCGAGATGAGCGCCACAACCCCAGAGTCGGTCATGACTGGACCTAATGGTCAGGGGTCCCTTTACCTTTACACGTGGTTAATTTAAAAGTTGATATGTGGACATGGAGTATGGATTCCGTGTAATGCTGTACACGTGTTGAATATACCAGTGTATGACTATACCTCTAAGCCTCAGTTATGGAGCTTACCATCTTTCAGCCTAACTTACCTCACAGGCTTGTTGTAAGGATGAAATTGGGGAGGGGGACCATGTACACCACCTGGAGCTCATTGACAGAAAAAGGTGGTAAATAAATGTAATATAGTATATATAATAAATGCCCGAACTGGGTGGTTGGCGTGTGTGTGTGTGTGTGTGTATTAAACTAGGAGGCACTGGACTTAGTTGTACCTGGATGAAGCTGGGTTTCATTTCTATTGTTGGAGAGAGACCCAATACAGTTCTTGTCTGTCTTCCTAACCGGTGCATCTTTCAAGCCCTCCATAACAATTTCCTTGAGCAAAATGAAGGAAAGGCAATATATAGCTGTAATAAATAAATACGGGCACCACAGTTCTCCATTTAGCTCAAAGGGATTGTGGCCCTTTGTCAAATGTGGGCAGAATTGGCTACATGAATGATATGAAATGAATGTGTGTAGGAATGAAACTAAAAGGTAGCAAAGGGTATCTTGCTTAGCAGGGAGGGGGGGAAAGCCCCACTGAACTCAGTTAGATCCCCCCCACCTCCAAATAAGCATGCATGGGGTCAGGCTACACTTACAGACCCTCCAAGTGTCCCTATTTTCCAGGGACGTCCCTGATTTAGAGAAGTCGTCCCGGTTTCTCATTTGATCCTGTAATGTCCCATTTTTCCGTAGGATGTCCCTATTTTCATTGGAGAAATGTTGAAGGGTGTGAAGTTATCTGACCCCCAAGCAGTCTCAAAGCAATCCTATATAGGGAAGGTTTTTAAATGTTTAATGTTTTATTATGTTTTTATATGTGTTGGAAGCTGCCCAGAGTGGCTGGGGCAACCCAGTGAGATGTGTGGGGTGTAAATAGTAAAATTTTCCTTATAGAATGGGACATCCCTATTTTCATCGGAGAAATGTTGAAGGGTATGCACTTAGGTGCTTTACTTATAGTACATTGCATTTTGTACTATATGAATAAAGGAGGGCAGAGAGGGGGAAGAGTTAATTATAGTACAACTGGGGAATACAAATGCCAAATGGCTTTTATTTCCCAAAGAAACAAAATCCTGTTCTGGGTTCCTTGGTTCTGGTAGATTTGTTTAATTCTTTCAATGTAAATAGTGTAAATTGTGACATATTGTTTATTAAATGTGCTGTATAATTCTACTCAATACTTGGTGTATGCTCTGTTTCTATTGCAGCCATGTCGGTACTACCCAATAATAGCTGCAGAAAAACACAGGCCTTGCCTTGCTGAGCCTTTGCACACATAGCCTTTGCGATCCTTTGAAGCCATTGGGACTTCTGTGACATGCAATGGGATCAAGACAGGACTGCAGGCAACAATTTAAAGCTTTGCACAATAGGATATATTCAATATATACTCCCATTTTGGGGGGGGGGGGAGATGCCCTGCAGAGAACTGCCAATATTTTGAGACTTATTTTCTTTGAAAAGCCATGCTGCAGCTGGATTCCCATTCTTGCAACTTAATTATCAGTTTCTTAACAATGGCAGATGTTTCTGAAAGCCTGAAAACTCAGATCGTGACAAAACTATTAAAATTACTAGACTGAAATTTGGGCACAGTTCAGTCTGACTGAAATGACAAAAAGCATGTGGATGTTGACATGTGGTGCAACATTTGTAAGTGCCTAAAATCCAGTGTGTGTAGTAGGCCCAGATTGCAAAATCCATCTCCAGAATAAAATCCAGGGGTCACCTGTGCAATGTGGGTTTATCTGCACTGGAATTTATGTGCATATCCCCTATTTGAATGCTAGGCTCATCAAACGAACATCTGGTGACATCAGAGGTCAGACGAGCGGAGGAAAGGAAGTCATGGTCTCACTCCCCAACCCGCAAAAGCAAGTGACTGGGTTTCACCTGGCCTTGCCTAATGTGAAGCATGAAAGTCATAAGAAGAGCCTGTAGGATCAGGCCAATGTCCCAATGTCTCACAATGAGCCAACCAGATACCCATCTGAAAGCAGAGGCATGACCTGAGTGCAACAGAACTTTCCCCACCTGTGATTCACAGCATATTGCCTCCAATAGCCATTATGGCCAGAAGTCATAGCCATAGTCTCCAGACTAGCCACCCAACACAAAAGCCATTGGAACCTGCCAGCAAGGCTACAGGACAACAGTTTTGTTGTGCAACACAGCTTCTTTGCAGTCAACTTTCACACGCTCTGTTTCACAGTCTCTATTTTTTATTGTTCCACAGAAGCACAAATGCCCTTATACATGTTTTTAAAAAACCAGCTGCAGTTAATGTGATTGGTGAGCAAGTGCTTCATTTTTGCTGGATCATGTGCATGTTACCATCCCCTTTCCTTTCTCCATTTCTCTGGCTTTTTAGTTCATGCGGTATGAAACCTGCTGTCACGAAAGCTGCCATCTCCATCTGTAACATTGCTGACTGCTCTCATACAATAGCAGCTTTCCTCACAAGATTTCACCCGTTCATAATTGTTATGAATTGTTCATATTGAGGAAGCTAGGTCCAAAAGAAGCACAAAATGTAATATGGATGGTTTGTGGGTTTTTGGTTTTCTAAGTTATTTCTCTAAGGGTGGCACTGTGAGTTAAACCACAGAGCCTAGGGCTTGCTGATTGGAATGGCGGTTTGAATCCCCCGACAGGGTGAGCTCCTGTTGCTCGGTCCCTGCTCCTGCCAATCTAGCAGTTCGACAGCACATCAAAGTGCAAGTAGATAAATAGGTACCACTCCAGCGGGAAGGTAAACGGTGTTTCCGTGCGCTGCTCTGGTTCGCCAGAAGCGGCTTAGTCATGCTGGCCACATGACCCGGAAGCTGTACGCCGGCTCACTTGGCCTATAGAGTGAGATGAGTGCCACAACTCCAGAGTCATCCGCGACTGAACCTAATGGTCAGGGGTCCCTTTACCTTTAAGTTATTTCTCTAAGAAACAAAAGTGCCATTGGACAGGAAGAATCCTCTGCATCAATGCTAAAAGCTAATTTGGGATGTCTTTTTACTAGTGCACTGCCATGGCTTTCCTATTCCTCCCAAATCTTTGTTATGTTGTTAAGTACAGGTCTCAGCAGGAAATCCACCTACAGCACATTCCCTTTCTTTGTACTAGGAAGGGTCCAACAGAGGATTCTCAGCACCCTTGCCAAGCTCCAATTCACATGATTCTTTGAGGAAAGGCATTATATTTACACTGGTATGTCTGTTTGTAGGGTAGATCTGCCTTTAAGAGTCATAATTCCCCGTAGTTCTCAAATAGCTGTTCCCATTCTCTAGCTACTGGGCCACAACTCAGCTTTTTGATAAATTGTGCTAGCCTGCAATCATTTTTTAATGAGTGCGTTTGTGATCTCAAGATTTGGTTTCGGTGTCTGGCAGGCAAAGTTCAACTTCAGCTGCTTTGCTGTGCCATGATGAATGGAGGCGGCACATTTCCCTGTAATTGCAAAAAGCTACTTACGTGCTTTAAAAATGGTACTGATTTTATTTATGGGCTTATTTTTACAGGTACATTGCTTGTTCGTAAAACGTAATATGGCCAAAGTATTTCTCATAAATATGATTATGTAGGTTCAACTTCAGTTTTTTTGGTAAATGGTAAACATTTTTATGCTTACAGTCGCACCCCGCCCAAGATACAGTGGTGCCCCAGGACAATGCTCGCAAAGAACAACTCCTCGAAAGGGTTTTCCGTTTTTTGAGTCGTTCCGCAAGACGAATTCCCTATGGGCTGCGAGTTTGTTTCCTTTTTCTTAACCGACGTTAATCCATAGCTCCTATAGCGTAGCGCTATTACGTGCCAAGCGAAACGCAAGACGAAGAACGGATTATTTGCTCTGCCGAGCACCACTGTACTGTACTTTCTGATGGGAGCTGTCTTTCCCCACTTGGATTTGAATTTAGCTAAAAAATGCATTCAAGAAGCCAAATGAAAAAGCACACAAATAATAATAATACTTGCATTCAGGTCTTGAAGATGAGCAATGAGTAGTCTCCATGCTCACACTGTTCCTCTGAAGGTGGACACCAACACCATAATGATACCTGTCTTCAAAGTGGATGGATGTAGAGCACATACCTTTCCATGCCATTGATGTCCTTAAAGGTTTCAGCTGATGCCAAACATGGTAATTTGCCTCTTTGCAGAGACAGGTCTCTCCGAGGTCGTTACTCCAATTCTCCAGAGATTGTACTGTGTGAACTATATCTTCTAGATTCAGATCAAGGCACTGTTTATGATCAATGAATTTTAAAAAGTCTTGATTGCTATGATCTAGGGATGCATCCTCAAGCATAAACATGGGAAATC